GGCCGCCGCCCAGGTAAAGGGACCCCGCGCCAGCGCCGCGGTGCAGGCCAGGAGGGGTGCCTGGCGTTGGTCAGCGTATTGCGTGCACAGGGAAGGCCGGGACAGCTGGAAGGAAAGGCGGGCTCCCGTGCCGGCAGTGTTCTGTGGGGCTCGTTTACCGCCGGAGAGCCGCCCGGTCACTGAAGGTGGGTGGGTGGCTCCCTGGCTGGCAAATGGGGACTTGTACCCCCTCCCCCGGTACGGCCAGCGGGGCTCTGCGAGGGGCCGGTTCAGCTGACCACTAACCCAGCAGCAGAAAGGTATCGACTTGTACAGCACAAGCCCCAGCTCCTGCCCGAGCCTCGTGAGTGAGACAGGGAATGTAGGGCAGGGGCCAAGAGTGGGACAGGCCGTGCCTTTCGACGGTCACCAGTGTACGTGTTGGACCACAGTGAGTGGGGAACTGGGGGTTGAACGGACCAAACCACAGAACTGCAGGAAAAAAAATCTGTGCCTGTGTGCAAACAGGTATTTGCACCAAGAAGTAGCGTACAGGGACTGTTCTTGGCAGGGGCCTTGCATCAGTAGCTGGTCTCCTTTATTAATAATGACAATAGTGGCAGCATTGTTCCAGCCATGGCCAATTAAAGTCTTATCTGCGTCCCTAATAATACTAATGGTTAATGTTTTATTCCTTTAGTGTTCCTCTTGTGGCAGTATCCCCAAAACAGGGCCTTGGAGTAGGGAGGTGCTCATGTAAAGACTGTAGCTGTCAGACTGCTTATGCATAACGAAAGCAAGTTTTCATAGGAGCTGCTTATCTCTCTGATAGGGGTAACAAAGATGGTAAGAAAGGGATCCTTGCGCTTTTAGAGCGCCTACCCCTTGGCCAGGAGGTAGCAGGTAAGCCAATCTTGAGATCTTTGCTGCAGGGTATTTCTTCTGCTGCTTCCCTGGGCTCTGTTTGGTTTAATTTTGCAAAGGAGGGCAGTGGAGGCCTGACTCTTCCCACAGTTTCACTGTGCAGCAAGAGCAGGGCAGGCCCCACACTGCTGCCTCTGCATGCAGCAGGGTCCAGGGTTGCTGCAGGGGTTCAGTGCCAGCATCTGCCCAGGTGGGAGCTGACCCAGCCTCCCCAGATCTCCCTGCAGCAGCCGCACTCCTACAGAGCAGAGAGCCACCCACCCTGGGTGCTGCTAGCTGCTGGGGAGAGGTATTTAGCTGTTTGTGTGGTGGTTTTCCAGAGGAGTTGGAGGAGGGGAGGTTGTGGCCTCTCCGAGACAGTGATGAAAAGCAGCCATCATTAGAGGAATGGGAATGTGTGCTCAGGGAAACCCACAGTGGCTCCAGGGACTGTGAGTCAGAAGGGAGGGGGGACCTCATTTCTGATGGATCACAGCAGGAAAGTGGGGTTGTTCCGTTTGTCTCTGTTAAAACACAGTTCCAAGTGTGATATGCAGCAGCTGTTTTGTAAAGTTTCATCTCCTTCGTCTCCTGCAGTCATCTTGTTTGTTTTCTTCCCTCTCTGTCTGGCTGTGCCTGTTCTTTCCTTTAAGAGACTGGATTCCCTCTGGCAGGGTTTGCCTTTTCTGGCCTTTGTGTCTTTCAAGTGTTTCTCTTCCCTCTGGTTGTATCTTGTGAGCTTTTCTCCTTCCCCTGCTCTTAGCAGCTCAGCCCTGGCTCTGTGGCCCCTTGTCTGTTCTGTGGGGATGGTGACAGTGTGGAGGACCCTTGACCCATGGAGTCAAGGTCTTCTGTGAGCACACCCACTAACCTAGGACTTGTGGTTTATGAACAGGGAGAAGAATAAAAGAAAGAACCTAGGAGAGAGTGAAGGTCTTCCTGCAGGGAACCAGGGTGACCCACTCATGGGGTGGAGAGCCAGGGGCTGGAGCTGAAGGTTGGTGTGTCTGTGGCTTTCTGGGACCAAGGACAGGCAGGAGTGCTGTGCCTGTGTGTGGGCATGCTCACTTCTGCCTTGCCATGGGCACAGACTGGCCTCCTAGTAGCTCTGGCCTGAGGAGATGGGCAGCTCTGCAAAGAAATGCGTTGCGGTGGCAGAGCTGGTTAGCTGTCACCTGAGTCTTTTCTTGGGGTAATCGTTTGTTACTCTTAGGGTGTGAGTAATTGTTTTGTACCTGTGGGCTGGGATTAGGGCAAGCAGTCCGCATTCTGTCAGAGCGGAACCTGTGATTTGCTAGCGCGAGTACTCTTGCTTCCTTTTCTAGACCAGAAGAGCTGCAAACCAGTGCCATTTTCATGCTGCCCTGAAGAGAACGCTCTGACTGTGGTCAGCTGGTGCTTAGCCACAGTGGCTTGCGGTAGCACCAAATGTCCCGGTGATCTAGCACTGACTAGATCAGCTGGTGGCAACGAGGAACACGTGGAAGCCAGGAACTGATTTCACAACAATGAGATGCCTCACCCACCCGCTGCTCAGGAGGTTGTTTGGTCTCTCACCTCAGTGTGTGCCAGGGGGATTGAGTCAAAGTGAATGTCCTATCCTCAGTCCAAAGCAGTCATCTCTGAGGCAGAGCTGCGGTGCAAGACCTCGGCTTGTGACTGCCACTGATGTGGTCAAATACTGGCAGAAGGTGTTTGAGACAAATGGGATCCCTGAAGCAAGAGAATCCAGTGAATATATCCTGGCATTTGTCCTGGGAGCAAAAACAGTTAAGTAATAGAAAAAGAATAAGGTCTGTATGCATGCCTCTCACTTTGTCATTTTGGTTGAATCCCTTACCGTTCCTTTTATCTCACTTACAGGAAGTAGAAAAACTTTTCCCTACCTTAGATGGCAGAGAGGGTCAGGCATAGTTTATTAATGCCAGTAGAACACCTGGGGTCTCTTAAATGCCTTCTTTTGCAGAGACTGAAATGTAACCCATGACATATACACCCACACTGTACCCTGACGTGCTTGGTGGAATGATTCTTAATTTTACCTATTCTTCTGAGCCCCGAAAAGTAGCAGAAGAACAGTTGTACAGGGTTGGTTTTAAACATGCAGATAGGTTCTCCTAATCATTTGTGGTTTCCAACAGTCCCAGGCATATGTGTTTGTCAGCATGCTGGGTCTCCCCGGAGGATGCCTTTGGCAGGGTGCAGAGGACACCCAAGTGGCACCAGTGGGCAAGTTTTAAATTGACCTTGTCTTCAGTTTCAGAGTTTGAACTCCAAAAGCCTCCACACTCCGCTTACAGCAGCGCAGCAGGAGCAAATCCAGCAGCTGAGCAACAAGCGACTAGAAAGGTAGGAGCATCCTCTTACAGTCGTTCCTTTGGAGGGTTTTCCTTCAGTCTTAATGCAGCCAGAAGAATGGTAGCAGAGAGAAGGCAGAAGACCATTAGCAGCTGACATGTCAAGTAACAGTGCTGTGTCTCATTGTGACTCAAGTGATGGGCATTTGCTGTTGTTGTCAGGTAGCAAATCACCTGTCTGTCCTGTCTGGGAGAAAAGAGGGTTTAAGGGATGTTGCAGAGGAGCAGGAAACTGGCAGTGCTGACCCTGAGTTGGGTACATTTTCATTAAGCCCTTCTGTGCTTACAGAATTTAGCCTTGTCCCCTTCTGTCTGATTCAGCACGCTCTTCAGCTGCCAGTCCTATACTGGTCTGTGGTGTTGCTGTGCTTTCCTTTCTAGGCTTTGCCTGCAGGGGATTTCCCTGGTGTTGAGAGGTATCCATGGCTGTTGTAGCTTTGGCTTCCATTTGGCCTCCATTTGCTTGCTCTGTGTGAGGGGTTGTCTTAGCAGAAAAATTAAATGGGGTTGGTGTGAAGGAGCTACTTGGAATGAGGCTGGGCCTGGGGAATACTGTGTGGGGAGAGGAAATATTCAGGAGCTTGGATCATTTAGAAGGGTGGGAGATGCCTGGGAACATGTTTGGAGGCAGCATCCTCCTGCTTGTTTATGTGAGTGTGGTTATGATGTGGATCCTCATTTTACTGTGCTGATTAATCCTGCTGTGTCTTATGCAGAATAGGATGTGAGGGTTTCTCAGGGCGTCAGTGTGTTAGCAGTGGTTACTGTTTGTAGGATCTGAGTGTCTTCCCTGAAATTGTCCTGCTGCTCGAGTCTTGTGTTAGGAGCAGAAATCCAAAATTCCCAGAGCTGTCTGACTTGCAAATTCCTCTGTCTTAAGTGCTGTTAAGTTTGCAACAAATCTCTGCTGTTCTACATGAAAAAGTGAGGTATGGTGCCTCACAGCAGCTGAAAACATAGCCCCAAAATTCATAGAATCATGGAGGTTGACATGGACTGCTGGAAGTCTAGTCCACTCCCCTGCTCAAAGCAGGATCAACTAGAGCAAGTTGCTCAGTCATGCCCAATTCAGTTTTTAATATATCCGAAGACAGATACTATGCAACCTCTCTGGACAGCCTGTTCCAGTGTTTGACCACCCTCACAGTGTTTAAAAAAAGAAGAGAGAGAGAAAAAAAAAAGGGGGGTGTGATTCTTAAGTTCAAATGGAATTTTCTGTATTTCAGTCTGTGCCCTTTGCCTGCCTTTTTTCTGGATACCACTGAACAGAGTCAGGCTCCTTCTTCTTTACTCCATCTCACCAGATACATATGGTCATTGATGAGATTTCACTCCCCTGCCCCCCAGCCCGAGCCTTCCCTTCTCAAGGCTAAACTGTCCCAGCTCTCAGTCTCTCCTTGTATGTCAGATGCTCCAATCCCTTAATCATCTTAATGGCCATTTGTTGGACTTACTCCAGTATGTCCATGGCTCTCCTCTACTGGGAGCCCTGCGCTCCAGATGTTTCCTACCAGTGCTGAATAGAGGGGAAGGATCCCTTCCCTTGACCTTCTGGCAACGCTCTGTCTAATGCAGCCCAGGAAGCCCAATGGCCTTCTTTTGCTGCAAGGGCACATTGCTGACTCATGGTCAACTTGTCCACTCGATCCCCAGGGCCTTTTCTGCAAGGCCGCTGTCCAGCTGGTTGGCCCCCAGCCTGTACTGGTACGTGGGATTATTCCTCCCCAGTTTATCGGACTTCGCATTACCCTTTGCTGAATTTCATGAGGTTCCTGTCAGCCCATTTCTCCAGCCTCCTGAGGTCCCTCTGAAAAGTAGCACACCCTATTAACCACTCCTCCCAATTTTCTATCATCTGCAGACATGCCAAGGGTATTCTCTGTCCCTTCATCCAGATCATTAATGAAGATGTTATGCTATATTGGCCCCACTATTAACCCCCGGGGTGCTCCACTAGTGATCGGCCTTCAGCTGGACTTTGTGCTGTTGAACACAGCCCTCTGAGCCTGCCAGTTCAGTCAATTTTCAGTCCACCTCATTTATCTAGTCCGTACTTCATCAGCTTGTATATGAGGATGTTGTGGGAGACAGTATCAAAAGCCTTAGGAAAGTCTAGATAAACAGTATTGATTACCCTCTCCTCCTGCACCGAGTTAGTCATTGTGTCATGGGTGGCTATTAGGTTGGTCAGGAAGGGTTTCCCCTTTGTAAATGCACGCTGACTACTCCCAGTCACCTTCCTGTACTTAGTATGTTTGGAAACGATCTCTAGGACTATTTGTTCCATCCCTGTCCCTGGTATCGAGGTGAGACTGACTGTCCTGTAGTTCCCTGGGTCCAGTGCTTGATAACAAACTCTTTTGTGGGAATGGAGCTCCCACAGCTCCCTTAGAGCGCAGATGCATGTTGCCCATGCAGTTAAGAGCCTTAGGGGTGTCTAGGTGCTCACCCTCAGAAGGGTTATGTGGTTAGTAATGAGGTAAGCATGGTATTGAGAGCTTTTCCATGTTATGGAATGTAGTCCTAAAGTGTTAACACTTGCTTTTGCCTGCCACAGAATGCCGGTGCAGTATGTGCTTGGTGAGTGGGACTTTCAGGACCTGACTCTGAAGATGAGACCCCCAGTATTTATCCCTCGGCCTGAAACAGAGGTATGAATGTGGGGAACGTGGCGGGGACAGGCTTGAATCTGTGGATTACATCATACAATACAATCATAGTATTTCCATGAAGGCGCCCTGTATATCGTGAGGTTGTAGTGATGAGGAGGTCAGATCATTCCACTTCTTTTAGAACAGAGGGGGATTCTAAGCTTGTGATCTGGAACTGATGCTGGTGAACTTTGCCTCCTGGCTCGGAGCAAGAGATGTTGCAAGCTAGCATATCACTTAATTACACAGAGATCCATTTCCATTGATGGAAGGACTTGGCTTTCTTTCCTTATTTCTGCTATAGTGATGACCCTAGAAGTTCAAAACCTATACTGCTGTATCCCAGTGGGTTAGTACTTTGATACAAGGACAAGAATCTCAAAGTTGTCCAAAGGTTGTTGGCAAAATCCTGCAGTAGTAGAAAGCTGGTAATGGACTCCAGAGAGCTTGTTTGTCCATGTGCAGACTAAAACAGTGCAGGCTGGTAGGAAATGGCACCTACCACCTGTCTGAAGGCTCCGCAGTGGTTTCTGGACAAACACTGGAACCTGAAGGGTTGTTTCCTGAACGGTAACAAAAAACCACTGAAAACTGAAGGGTAAATTCTGACCTGGGCTGGAATTAAATATTAATGTAAGTTGTAAGAATGTAAAGGACAGCCATACGTGATCAAGTTAAAACTCCATTTTCCCCAGTGTTCCTGCTGCTAGGGAAAAGCCTAAGAACTACACAGTGACGCTTTCCCAGACAGTAGCCTAGCTTTCAGCTCATGGACCATCCTAGCAAGGAAGTCTGTCTGTTTGCTAGTCCTCAGGAGGTTTTAGGGTTTGTGAGGGTTTTTTTTTGTTTTGGGTTGGTTCTTTTTTTGTTGGTTTGGTTTTTCTTCTTCTGACAATTTTTCTTTTGAAGCCTGTGTTAACTTTCAGAGATGAAGTGGTCTCCATAGCTTGTCCATTTAGGAGTCCCAGAAGCTTAAACCTGTTTCAGTCTAATAGTCATTTCTTCAGTTGTTTGCCTGCTGCTTGGTGACTGTTGTAATGTGGAGGCGGCCCTCTGCTCAGGTCTCTGTAAGTAGGGGCCCATGCTGTAAAAAGAATGAAAAGGCTCATTCAGACAGAATGTCCCCTACTGACAATGTCAGAAGAGATGCCAAGGTCTGAGTGGGCTTTGGAGATGGGAAGACCACCTTTGCTTTTTCTGGGGAAGGGATAGTATTGGGAATGTATGAAGAAAGCAGCAGCTCACTAAAGAGAGGATGCAGTCTTCAGAATCCTTCATCTGACACCTTTTATTACACAAAAGTTAAAAGGCAAAGACAGCCTGTGCTTCTGTTGTGCCCTTTGAAGAAGAGGTTGCTACTGAAATCCATGAGAGGGTTCCAGGCAAGTTAGTGGGAATCAGCACAACTACCACTTAGACATCCTCTCATCTCAGCCTGTAGAAGAATATTCAGAACCAGAGTCTTGATTCGGTGTGGGGCATCAGCAGCACCTCACTGAAAGCCTGCTGGGCCCTAAATCGTAGAGATTTGGGGCTTGTGTCCAGAGAAGGTGTGAGCTCTCTCTGGTGCCTGGGTTTGATCACTCTGTGGCGATGAAGTTTGGAGTTAGGGCTCTAAGGAATAGTTCTGCCAGTTGGAGCCCAGCAATAGTTAGCTTTGTTATTGTCAACAGTATTTCTGCTGTGGTTGATTCAAGAGAGTATTTCCAACTCTTAACTGCCCATTAATTCGTGGATGCAACGTGAGCATTAAAACCACTCTCCATGCGGTGCCAGGCTTCAAAGGCCTATTGTGTGGCGTGGAAGCCGGGGTGGCTAATGCCTGAGAATGTTGTTAATTGTGCCCACATGCGTGATTTTGGTAAAAGCATCTCTGCTGGCCCAAAGTGAAGTGAGTGCTGCATAACATGCTGAGATTAAAACCACTTAACATACCCTGGTGCAAAAATGTAGCATAAACAGCTTAACCTAAACCTTGTCTCTCTGGGAAAACTTTATTTGATGTGTCACTATACTTACTATGAAGGCACATTTTTAGCACATTTATTATGGAAGGCCAGAAGTTTATGATGATAGCTCAGGAATGGAGCTCTGTTGGCAACTGAGAGTTTTCTTGTGATGTGCTGGGGAGATTACTTGGACAGCAAGAGCATGGGGACAAGACCCAGCTGTTTAGCAGCACCTGGCAGGACATTGCTTTAGGCATGTGCTGCTTCCAGGAACCGTGTACTGTGTGTAACCTGTTGCACAAAGAGAGTTGGTGTCTAGATCTTTTCCTTCTGCTAGGAAGGAAAAGTTTGTCACCTCTGACTCAGAGCTTTGTGGGGTGTGTTTTGGTTGGGGTATGTCTATGTTTTGTTTCATCAGAGTAATTTTTCCAGACTTCACTGGACTTCAGAACTGCAGTGGAAATATCTCCTTTCAAAAATACTGAAGTTAGTTGCATCTGTTGCTCTCTTTCTGTTTAGGATTTGTCTGCAGCATTCTTAAAACCAATAGTGCTGAATGTTTTCACCAAATAATATCTGTAAATAACCCTCGTTCTTTAGGAAGCAGGTCATTATCAACATTGATATCCCAGGTTCAAGTTGCTTATCAGTGACTGCACACATAAGGCACATGGCACATCTTGTCCTTGGCTGAGTAAATGTGACTGCCTAAATTGACTTGTTAGTGCAGATACACAAGCAGCTGCAAAATTTGCTTCCTAGTTATATTAATATAGGGTCTGCAAATACTCCTGCTTGTTGATTCGAAGTCTGAAAAGGAGAGGAGCCATCTTTATGATGCACGTTTTATTCTATCGTTACAACAGAAGGGTTATGACTCTTGTTCCCAGATGCGTTGGTAATGGCACGAAGGCAAACACAGTATGACATAAACCACCAGCATTGTTTCAGTCCTGGGGACAGAGACACATGCAAAGGGAGAAGTTCAGTTGTCTGCTTAACTTTGCCCTGTGTGAAATTTGCCCCATTGTAGTATGATTTGTTCTCTCTGGTAGCTGAGCCCTCTCGCGTTCGCTCCCTCTGGGAATATATTTTCAGCACATGTGGCTTCGTTCTTCTGTTCCGTGGGAATCCGGGTGGGGAGGGGACAGGCAGCCAAAATTAGGAAACTAGCAGGTCCTGTTTAAGCTCTGAGAGTGGGATAACAAAGCTGACTGCATTCAGTCATAACTTCTTGGCGTGCAGGGCTGATATATACTTTTGTGAGCACAGACACACCGCATTGGAGGAGAGTTTTGTTAAACAGTCCTCAGTCTCACCTTCCTCCGGTTACCTGGCCCTCTGTGAGCAAAGCTTTGGACTCGCTGCTACAAGCACTGACTGGGTTTGCAAGGGCTTGTGGAACCCAGCGTCCTGCCTGCTTTCCTTGCGTGACCACCACAGCCAGGTTTCTGCAATGGGGAGGTGTTTGGGCCAAAGTTTAGGGGTGTGCTCAGTCTCATGAATTATCTTTGTTACGCGATTATTATTGTAATGTCAAGGAATCCCTGTCTCAGCATTGCTCAGTCACTGTATTAATGAAGAAGAAAGTCCTTTTCCCAAAGCAAGACTTTCTAAAACTCGGGCCGTGTTACCATCGCAGCAGCATTGTGTATCAGAGGAAAAATAGGACAAGGAGAAGGAGAACTCAGCCAACCGTGGATACATAATTCCTTTTTTTGTCCAGGCAAATACAGGCTAAATGAAGCCTCACCATAACTTCATTAAGGAAAGGTTTAGTTTGGTCCAGGACTTCACCGGAGGAAGTTGTTTGGGGTATGCGGCTTACCAGTCTTTTACCCCTAGAGGGCACTCCAGGCTTAGGCTCGCGGGGTTCCCGATAGCTCTATTTCCTATTAATTACTATAGGATTTCTGGGGTTTCTGATCCCCTCCTCTCTCAGATGCTGTGTTTTAAAGCAAATGAAGGCTTAGTTGTTCAGTGGAAACAAAAATGGTCTCCTTTTATCCCTTGCAGCTACTGTGTGGGTAGAGTCAGATTCTTGGACGTTGAGTTTTTGTTTTTCAGAAAACTCCAGTTCCGCTTGGGAGGATTGTCACAGTCTCACCATCCCCTCTGACCCTCAGGCTACCCAGGAGTCCCCTGGTGACGCCTCCTTGACCTATTGTGATCTCAGCACGAGCTCAGACCCTACATAATTATTTTCTGTCTTTGCTTTGTTGTGGTGGCTGTGTCATGAGAACAGTCCATTGTCCTGTAAGGGGGCGATGGTGTAGGGTGAGGATGGGTGTTTAGCCTGGGAGAGACATCTTAGGGAA